CGAAAACATAGAATAAAATTTTTTCGTATGAGTCTGTTTTCGAAAAAATCAATGAATATTTAAATATGAATAATATTCGCTGTAGATGGATTTAATTGATAAATTAAAGTATTTCAAACGAACAAAATTATATGTATTGACAGTATAAGATTTTTAAAAATTTATAAAATAATAACATTTATTGTACTTAAACATCTTGTTTTTACCGTATATTCTGAATTACTCAGTAATTAATAAACATAAGTGGAGATAAAAATAACGATTTACAGGGAGAGTCACTATGTCGAGTCATGAGACCTATTTTCTATAATTGAACTGGTGTATACTTGGAAAATTTTGAAATTATGTTAAAAGTTATATACAAATTACATGTCTGGTATTTAGTGAAAACAAGAAAATTTTAATGCAATTTTGTGCAAAAAAAATAGATCTACAGTAAATTGCACATATACTCGACAAATATTCTAAATCAATTTTCTTGAAAATAAACTTTATATGAAACAATTTTGTTGTGTATTTCTGATTAATCTTTTCATTACAATCGTCTCTTTTCTGGTTGTATCATTAGTTCACGAACACTATACATTAATAAAATATATTTGATAGTTTAATATTTTGATAAATTATTGAAAATTAATATTTGTTAGAAAAATTGTTCATGTTTTTATTATTTTTTATTCATATTTAATGTTTTACCATTATGTAGAAAATAACGATTGGAAATTGATATGATAAAGGAGAAGACTAAATAGATAGTCGACATTTTTTTTTATTGACGTGTAAATACATTTCAGGATTCAACTGATTTACTGTTGTGCGGCTGGTGCCGTTTGAGTTGAAGATTTGGATTCGCGTAAAGAAGCGCTGCGTCTTCGTTTTAATTCTTCTTGACGCCTGTTCTTCGCCTCTTTCTGACGTTGCGCCAGCAACTTCGCGTACTCCGCCGCTTGCTCTTTGCGAGCCAAACAGCGCTTCTTCTTCAGCGCCAGTCTGTGTCTTTTTCTCTGTAAGCATTTTAGTATATATTAAAGTAAAAAAAAGAATATAAATTTAAATGTTTTCATATTTTATTTAGAGAGCAAATAATCTAATTTAATTTTAATTTTATAGTTTCAATATATATATGTATATATATATCTATCAATATCTGTATGAATTCTTATAAAATGATGTACTTGAAGACTAATAGGAGTGATCAAACGCTGAATTTTTGGTGCCTTAAATCGCTCCTTTTTTCCTTCTTTCTGAACCGGTCGTTTTACTACAAACTGCCGAACATCATCCTTCTTCGAAAGATTAAACAGTTTGCGAATTTTGCTTGCTCTTTTCGGTCCCAAACGACGCGGTACGTTCATGTCTGTCAAGCCTGGGATTTCCTGCAATTCATATCATTATATAATATTAATTCATATTATTGTAGGAAATCTATTAAGATAATAAACTAATTAAGTTATTAGCCTAATGTTCCCAATCTGGGGGATTCATACATATAATATATCCACTGATATATGGGACCTACAGTTTAATGCCGGATCTAAACGACACTGGTGATCAAAGATCTCTTAATCACCAGCTCCTTAAACGCGAAATATCGCGTATGTGAGTGCAGGTGGGATTAAACTCGGATCTACAGATCGCGAGTCAATTGCACCAAGACAAAGAACTATGTAATAATAAAATATTTGTGTAAAAAATTCAGAATAAATTAATAATAGTTAAAAGCATGTTTCGTTCGTACACTGAGAAAAAGTACAAATGACATAACAATTTCCCAAATCAAAAAACGAATTTCATTTCCCATGTGTACGATTGTATCTCAAGAAACTTGAATATCTTGAATACACCCTGAACAGCATGGGTCTTCAGTATCTGAAAAAATATACCGTGAATGATCATTTACCTGTTTGCCTTTCCTGATGATGACAAGTGCTAGTACGGACAAATTAGAGTCTACGATACAACCACGAACGGATTTGCGCTTGCGCTCACCATCTCGTCGTGGTCTGTAGCAAGAATGTCCTTTGGAAAGCAATAAACGCACACGTCCTGTGCAAATAATATATCATATTAAAAAAAACTTCCTTAATCAGAAGTTTGATTGAAAATTACAAAAATCAGCAAATTTACTAAAAATTTATTATTTCATTTTTTATTTCATTGGTCAATCTATGGTGCTTTTCAGCAAGAGACAGAATGTTTTCCAGCAAGGATACAATGTAACACAGTGAATCATCCTTGTTGTTTGTCAACATTAAGTAAGATGAATTTTGCATTATACTGTGGGTGTAATCCACTTCATGTTGCAAATGTTTTAAAGCATTCTTTAATTGATCAATTTGTAAAATTTTTTCTTTTCATTGATCAGTGAAGTCTTTTCAATGTTAAGTGAATCTTGTCCTAGAAAACATCAATATTATAACACAGTTCTCTATGTTACAATATATCTCTGTTTCATCTTTGTTTAACATTGGCAAAGAATAAGGATATAATGATTCAACTTGTCATTTGTTGTCTCTTTCTGAAAAGTACCCCTACTAAATGTCCTCATTTATGTAACTTTCAAGCTATGTGACACATAATCAAATTTCAGAATGTAGATATAAAAAAATGCAAGTGTTCTCAATATCTTTTACAGATTCAAGAGAATTATAGCAAAATGACAAGATTAAATATAAATGAAGTTTAGCAAATAATCATTTCAAACTTTAAAGACAATTTTTTATACATATTAATTAATTATATCATATTATAAATGTATTATGAACCCACCATTCGTCAGGACACCCTGTTTCATAGGAAAACCTTGCTTGTCATTACCGCCAGAGATACGGACAACATAGCCCTTCCATTCATCTCCCAGTGCATCGGCCTCGACCTCAGCACCCATACGCTTCTCATAGAAAATTCTGAGCTTGTGCTCGTCTGAAATTTCGAACAGCTTCTGACATCCTGTTGCAGGATACGACACGTTCAACTGCAATAACCAAATATATAGATTAATAGTTATACACATTACATCTAATGTCCACTTCCACTAGTAGATTAATTTTAATTTTTGTCTAACTTATTCATCTTTTTCTAGTTTTGGGAATTAGAAAAAGATGAAGTATAAAGCTGTTGCACGCATAATGTAGATGATGTATCATTTTATTCCTGTTTAACACTTTGTGAATAACAAGAATAAAATATATTTTATGTACATCATGTATGCAACGAAACGCAACCTAACTTGAACTGAGAGAGAATAATTTCAACAAAATTGGAACTAAAGGGGTATTCTGGATAAATATCAAGTTCAAATATACATTAATGAAATGGGCTTCGAACTTCTAAATTAAGACTGATTAGGTTAGAATTTTTCCTCTACAAAGTACAGCAAAAAATAAAGTAAAAAAAAAAAGAAACAATTTTTCCATACAATGTTAGTTCCGCGAGTTACAAATGAAAATAGCAGAAGACACTTCTTAATCGCGTGATGCAGCAATTAATACGGCCAAATCCGCATGTTTCACCTGACAACACCTGATGCCGACACTTTACGATCAGTGATATATGCAGATAGAGAAAGCCTCGACGAATATGAAAATATCGTCGAGACACCGACATTTCGGTGCATCAAAAAAGATTTGTATTTCGCGTGTGAGACGCGTGATTTTTGTGATATTCGTGGATTCTTACCTTCATCGTGACACGATACAAACGTTGCTACAAGCCATAGACAAAAGGGACAGAAAACGATGAGAATTGACGAGAACGCGTTGACGATGGTGCTGCCAACGGACACGTGTTATTTGCGCCTGCGCGAAACGTGACGCGCTTGTCGCGCACCGGATATCCGGCCCGGTGAAGCGCGACAAGAATTCGAACTGGTGGCTCCGAAGTGTTTCGAAAACAAATGCGAATTCCGGATCATCAAACGCAGATTCCGGAAATGCACGTGAGATTTCTCTTGACGAGAGAGACGTGAGGTCACGTGTTGTCTAATCTTATCTGGTTCTTAATTTTATATATTTTCTATCTATTTTCGTCTTGGGCGTTGCTTGATAATAATATATATTTAGATCCGACATACATCGAATGGTTCTAATAATAACCTAGTCTGTTTTTATAGTTGAATTTAGTATACACTACGCTTAAAGTGAAATAGATATAGGTTTGATTTTGGCAAAAGTGACAATGGAAAGTTCCAGTGCAATTTAATGCAGCAATAAAAACAGATCTATTGTAATAAAATAAAATGCAGAAGAACGTTTATAGTTCTTGCGTTTATAATCTTTATAGAAATCCAACGATTCAGTTCTGGAAATTACAATTTTGATATACATATAGTATATCTGAACCACAGTGCTTTTAATACTCAAATTAAGGCTGTGGTCAGTCTCGCTACAAATGCTTTGAAGCATTTGATGGACCAATTAGAAGAAAGAATTTTACAAACTGATCAATTAAAAAACATTTCAAAGCATTTGCAGCATCGCGTTGACCGTATCCTTTGTGTGATAATTATTATTTCATCTAGCGTTGAATTTTTGTAAGGAAGAAATTTAAATAAAACGGCTTGTACTTCTCGTTGTGGTTTCGACGAAATTCTATGAATAACAATAATAAATTATCATTAATTGATTGTCATCGACGTGATTGATTTGAAATTTTATAAGTATATGATTTATTTTCCTTAATCTTTCATTTCTTATCAAACGAATCGATAATTCTAGGCCGGTATTTATATTTGAGTATCTATATAATATAATATTTAAATAATTTGTATAATATTATATCTTTATATATATCTCAAGATATTATCTTGAAATAAGAACGAATTATGAATATCATTAGTCCTAAAAGCGTTAATAAGCTACCGCGGGTATCGGGTACCGTCGAGTTAATTAATTGTCGATTAAGCTAATCAGAATTTGATCGTCCTTTTATTTTTCCGCATGATACAAGAGAACGTATACGCACGCGCACGACAACTGTCATTATCGCGCGAGAGGAGAGTGGGAAAGAAAAAAAGGAGTAAAACGAGAAGAGCGAGACGAAGAAGCGAAGAAGCGGCGCGGCGACCGACCGTCGGTTTGTCGGCTCTTGTCGGCAGCGGAGTGGAGGGAAAAGGAAAGGGAAACGTTTTGCGCTTCGGAAGGTGCCGTCGTCGACACATACAGCGCGGAACGTGTGTGCGAGAGTTTGCCGGAGGATTTTCGTTATGTATCGATTTACTACATAAATACTCTCTCTCGCGCGCAAAACGGAGCGGCAAATGGAGCACGCGGAATGAGCGGCTGCGACACCGGTTGCGAGACAGGTAAATGTTCGCTTCCACTGTCCGCGTCGCGTTTCTTCCGTCCCGTACTTTCGACTCGTTCCGTCATTGCGGTTTTGTATAGGTTAGAGGGCATCTTGTTCACCGGAACGACCGTGACGACGATGACGATGACGACGACGACAGTTTGCGAGCGATACGTGAAATGATGTAATGAGACTCGCGTGATCGCGATATTATTTCGCACGACGCATTCGCTTTGTTCGATGTAGATCGGTTGTCCCACGACCACATGCTCGTTATTCTCGATGCACTTTTCACCGACCTGCATCGGGTAAACTGTCTTTAGATTTTTCTCGAGCCGAACATGATGCAATTGCGCGACGTTAGATAATAATCGCGGGAATAGAAATATTGTTAGGGTGAGGATCGTGACGGAGCTTGTAATATTCGCTAATATTGTGTACAGTACGAAGACATGGAAGCCGCGGTGATAGAAGTTCTACGACAGGCGGTCAGTCAAGACCCCAATGTTCTGAAGTCTGCAGAGGAAACGCTTAAGCAATGGGAAACTCAACGAGGATTTTATATTGCGTTATATGTAAGTCTCCTGTGCTGGACAGAAGAAAGTTTTTTTTACAGGCTTATAAGTCTATAAATATTTTTTCTATTTTCCATGTACGTACTGGATTTATGGAATGTTACATGGAACAGGTTGCTTTCTATTTTCACATACTGAGTCTGAAGTGATGTGAGTTTATTTATACTCAGATAATGAAATCATTACTTTAGTAACAAAATTATCATATAACGATGCAGGTTTTAAAACTAATTTTAATGTGAGTTAAGATTCAGTAAAATACAAGATCTCAAGTTTATGCAGATTGTAGGTAAAAACTTAGTTGAATCTTACTTATCAAAATGAAGAAAAACGTTTATTTAACTGAGTCATCATGTATAAATGAGAATTATTTGAGTTAAATGGAAAGCAATTAAATATTAAATATTAAGATAAACATATGTATAGGATTAGAATTGAGCCTGTTCTTTGAACTGTACTAGAATTTTCTTTCAATAATTTATCAAATATATTTGTTCATTTTGTACAACAATATATGTAAGTAAAAGTTATATACAAAATATATAATTTTTACTTATGTATATTATATATTTTTACTCACAGAAAGAGAATGTAAACATGAAGAAAGAAAGAACATATTTTTATTCTTCTATAATCAGTTATTACACTAAAATTATGTATTTCAAAATCAATATTTTTTAATGATTTAAAACATTTAAATTAATTTTCTAGAAAGTTTTGATTTCTGAATTGTATCTTTGTAAGCAAGCAATATATTAATATTTTATTTTAAATATAATCAATCTACATTGGTTTAGCTGTAAAGAACAGACCTGGTATGGTTACATATTTCGTGATTTAAAAATTAAGATCACGTAAAAATTATTTTTAGAACGTTCTTTCAAATCATTCCTTGGCTATTGAAGTTAGATGGATGGCTGTAGTGTACTTGAAGATTGGAGTTGAGAGATACTGGAGGAAAAATGCACCAAAGTAAGAATCATTTTCTTAGAACAGGAAGCATTGTGTTATATACAAATCATAATGCATGCTATTATTTTAGTGCAATTGAAGACAATGAGAAGGAATTTTTACGACAGCATCTCCTCAGAAATTTTGACGAACCTATGAGTCCATTAGCTATACAATTAGCAGTCCTTATTGCCAAAATAGCAAGGTAATATATGTAATATATATAATATAATAAATTGTAATGTAATACACTCAATTACACAATATATATGATAAATTAAAATATTTAATCTTTTTATTTTATATTTTATTTTATAGGTTTGATTGTCCTAGAGAATGGGGTACACTAGTACCAACATTATTGGAAGTTATAAGGCAAGAAAATTCTTTAGCACAACGTCAGGCGGTATTAACACTGCATCATGTTGTCAAAGCTTTGGCGTCTCGACGCTTGGCCGATGGACAGAGGCTCTTACTTATACTGAATCCTTCCTGATTATGGCATCTAATGGGGCCGACGTCAATCAGACACAAGAAACCTTAGAAAAAGCACTTCTATTATTAAGAATACTTAGGCAACTGATTGTAAATGGTTTTTCCAAACCATCCGAATCTCCAGATGCCATGTTATTTCTGAAAGTCGTTTTCGAGCGTGCAAGGACTTGCCTTGAATGCCGTTAGTATTTTTTTTTGTTTTAAAAAACAGCTACTTACTATCTTTGGAATATTTAAATTGAATTTCATGTGGTATTGTAAAAGTGTTATATTGTTTTATTTCTTTTCTTTTTTAGGAAAAACTTTAGCTTCTAGAGGAATGCAAGTGGATGTGTGCGAAAAGTTTATAATACATTTGACCAAAGTTTTAATAGGAGTCATAGACATGCATCCGTTTTGCTATGTGGAACTCATACCCACTTCTTTAGAATTCTCCGTTTTTTACTGCTTTACAGAAGCTGGCCAAGCGTTAGCATTTGAAAGATTTATTATTCAGTGTCTAAATTTAATAAAAACCATTTTATTATCGACGTATTACAGACCAGCTAAGATTATTGAAGGTACAGAAGCTGCATTATTCTTACTTGTCTATGTCATGTCATTCCAATATTAACAACTGTTCTTTCTTTATCAAAACAGAGACGAAAGATCCATTGGTTCTGAGGGCATGTCAGTTGAGACAAGAATTTTTCACACCGGAAATATTAACGGAGATTTGTTCCAGGCTTGTCACGCATTACTTCCTTTTGACACCTGCGGATCTTGAAATGTGGGATACTCAACCAGAAAATTTCGGTAAGCATGGAATTATATATTTTATATAATAATATATTTCATATTGCATTTAATAAAATCATATGAGATGAAAATTAAATGATGTAATTAAATAATAAAAAAAAATAGAATATGAAAAATATTATTTGTTTCAGCTATTGATGATGGCGGAGAATCATGGAAATATAGCTTGAGGGTGAGTAATCAAATTACAAATAATAAAAATTATTAAAATATATAATTACTCTATAAATGTATTATAATACAAATGTATATTATGTTGTAGCCTTGCACAGAATCCTTATTTTTGGCGATCTTCCATCACTATAGAGATATTCTTGCTTCGGTTTTGGTTGATTTGATGCGACAGCATCATCAACCTGTCGATCCTAACAATCTACATGCGATTCTAGTGAAAGACGCGGTTTATCGCGCAGTTGGTCTTGCTGCATTCGATTTGTATGATGAGGTAAGTGAATAATATTTTAAGAAGAATTTCTATTCTTTTTAGCTAAAGTTTTTGCACGGTTCATTTTTCTTTTTTTCTCTTGTGTTGGAGAGAAAAAGAGAAAAGATGAATAATGCGTAAAGTTCAATTAAAAAGAACAAATCTATTTATATAAACGTTTACTTAATATATTATTATAGTTATTGTGTCATTGCGCGATAGGTAAACTTTGATCAATGGTTTTCGACGACTCTAAAAGAGGAATTAAAGGTTCGAAACAACAATTATAGAATTATCAGAAGACGTGTGTGTTGGTTGATTGGTCAATGGACGAGTACGTTGAAAATTTCACTGAAAAGATAAAGATTTGAAATGATTGTTTACTGTTTGTTATTTGCAAATTTATTGTTTGCAGATATCAAATTAAGTGAAGAATTAAGGCCGGAGTTATATAAGCTTATGATTGAAACATTGAATCCCGAAGAGGACTTAGGAGTTCGTTTAGCAGCAAGCAATGCTCTGAAACAAGCAATCGATGATTTTCAATTTGATCCAGAGAAGTTTTCTCCTTTCTTGGAGCCAATTTTTTCTCTACTTTTCTCACTTCTTAAAGAAGTAAACGAATGCGATACAAAAGTATGTGTGGAAAATTAGCATTTATTTTTTCTCAATATTTTTAGATTATTTCTTACAAGTATTTTTATCTTTTACAATCAGATGCATGTGCTGTCTGTGTTATCTTTTATTATCGAGCGTGTTGGCAGTGGAATCAAACCACATGTTGGTGCACTCAGCTCGTATTTACCTGAACTTTGGCAGCAATCTGAAATATACAATATGCTGAGGTGTGCCATAGTATCGACTCTGATACACTTGGAAAAGGTGAATATGCGATATATACTAATGAACTAATAAATTGATATTATTAATAAATAATAATCGAAAGGAGGTTAGCAGGATTTAGTGTAATAAACAAAGTATATAATTTTAAAAATAAAACTTAGTTTAATATTATATATATATATATATATATATATGTGTGTGTCGATACTCAAAATTAACAAACATTTTTCATTCATTTCGATTCCATCTTAATGAACTATATGGCTCTTTCATTGTATGATTTTTTATATTGAAGATAACTAAAAGTGGAATGAAAATCTTTTGTTAACTCACATATTGACATGTGTAATATTAAAGTTTTATTTTTAAAATTGCCCACTATTTATCGCGCTGACTCTTAAAATTCGAATCGTACGAAATTACCGATTACGATTGACTGGTTTTGTTTCAAGCACGATGCAATGAGTCTGTGAACGAGTCCAGACTTGCTGCCTCGTGATGACTGAAACAGGCAAGAAGGAAATCTTAAACTGAAGACTAATCTTCGACGAGATCATTGTTTTACTGACTAACATATACAATTTACATACATTCAGTGTTATAATTTGGCAGCTCTACATTGAATTAAAGAAATAATAAAAAAGATCTCAAAAAATTTTTTTATTCATACAAACTCCACTCACCAGACATATATAAATGCACATATGTCAAATCTGGAAAACGAACTAGAACTTTAAATCTCTCTGAGAGTAATACATATAAGAAAATTCCTTATGAAAATTATTTAATTAATAAAATATGATTTTAGGATTCTGTTATGTTATTTTTTTATTGATATTGATATTGCTTATGTTTTTCTAATCAATAGGCTTTAGGTTCTGAAAGCGTTAATCTAGAGCCGTTGGTGGTAGGCGTCGTGGCTCTAAGTGTTGATGTCAATCAAGAAGGACACGTTTATTTATTAGAAGATGGATTAGAGTTGTGGATAGCCTTATTAGAAAACACGCCTTCTCCAACACCACCTATAATGGATCTCTTCAGAAATATGCCAGCATTATTGGGTTAGTGATATAGGTTTATGCTATTAATAATTCTAATAAACCTTATAAAATCGAGGCATGGAATCGAACTTGGGATCATCAATTATGAGTCAACATACTTACAGATGAAATCATGCATCATCTCATTCTATTAATATGATTGTTAAAGAGTCTTAATGATTTATATATGATGATGTCTGTTTTCTGTATCATTTTCAGATCAATCTTCGGAGAATCTGCGTTTATGTTTGTACATAATTCAAATGTACGTGTTATTGAGTCCACAAGATTTCTTCATTCAGAGAAGTACGGTGATCATCGAATCACTGAAAACGCTTCTCAGTGATTTGCGTTCAGAGGGTAGAGTGATGGTGTTGAAATTATTTGAAATCTGTCTCAGAACTTCCCCTCAACAGGGTGCAGAATTAATAAAACCCGTTTTGCTAAAAATATTCGAGTAAGTAGATGCCTCTGAGAAATATCGCATTTGGATATTTAATTTAAAACGTGATACGATATGTTAACAGGAGTGTTTATTACGGCGACGAGTATTCGTCGGTCATGACTATGCAACTATCTGTCGTCGCAAGAGTTTTACTAGGTTCCCGTGATATTTTTGTACAGGTAAGAAAAATTCTATCTCAATCGCGATTTTCTTATATAAATTAGTTCGGTAATGAAGATTATCATTACAGATAATCAGCGATTTAGCACGGAGTATAGGAACCGAAACGAGGGAAGACGTTGTACTCGGAAAACTAATACACAGTTGGGTTAACGCAATGCCACTGGTAACTCAGATCGAAAGGCGCAAATTACTAGCTCTTGCACTCTGTTCTCTTCTCGGAGCGAACAGTCCGCCCACCGTTCTTGAATATTTCCCGCAAATAATATTAAACATTGTCGAAACGCTTAATGATGTCACCAAGTTTGACGATATGGGATATCCTGTCGAGTAAGACTTGAAGTTCTTTTATTAATTGGGATGAATTACAATGTGAGATCAAATCTTTTTCAACAATGGAGTATAATCGATAGTCATAATGTCGTAATCCTTTAAATTTATATTGAATGATTGTTATTTAAATTTAAAAAAATTTACAATGAATAGATATCTTTTTAACTGTTTACTAAAAAATATTCTGTAAATATACAGGATATTTGAAAAATAATGATAAATCTTTTGCATAGGGGCAGAATAGACTAAACTGAGAAGAAAAGTCCTCTACCATTTTGCAATTTTTACAAAAGTTAATAACATATTAATTGCAAAAAATTGCCGAAAATTGATTTTCAGTAATTTTTTACTCAATACTCAAATACTATCAACTTTTCAGAAAAACTGCAAGAGACAAAAATTGTTTATTTTCTTCTCATAGAAAACTACTTAGAATTTTTTCAGAATTTTTTATCAACTTTTTAGTACTGCATTTTCCCATTTTTACCAACATGAGAAAATACGGTATTAAGAAATTCTGAAAAAATTCTAAAAAAATTTTTAGAGTTCTTTATTTTCCAAATACCCTGTATATTTATTGAGTATTGTAATTATATTTCTTGATCATAAGATCGTAAGATTCTTATAAAGAAAACAGAAAAGTGAACTTTAAAATATGTGTGCATCACAAAATGAAATTGTTCTAGTTCCTTGATGATTACTGATCAACCCAGTCCTTCGCAATATGAGGATGTAGATTATGATACCGAACATGCTCAACGACAGAAGAGACTTCTTTTTAATGATCCTGTACACAGTATATCTTTAAAAGATACGCTCCAAAGTCAGGTGAGAATTTCTTATAAATATTTTTTAGATTTTTTTGACAATTATTCAAAGACATGAAATCTTTCGAAATTGTTAGCTGGTCACATTACGAGGTATAGTTGGAGATCATCAATTTGACCAGTTGATGCTTACTCTTAACTCTGAAATTGATGAACAACTCAAGGATTACATATCGCTGTAAGGAAGAAACAAGATCAAAATATAATGAAGGATGTTTCGACAAATGCTACATAACGTATGCAGCTTTATAGCTCCATTGTAAAACGGTACTATTTTATTGTATAATATTACCATCTGTTTCATTGTATTAATTATAATAATAAAAGTAATCTTGGCCTTGTTTGTTTCTGAAGTATATAATTTTTGATTCCTTGATGCATTGGGACAGTATTTTTCCATTTAAATGAACCCAAATGTATGTTTTTATTTTATAGACGACTGCTACCATTTAGCTATTCATCATTTTTCATTCTCAAATTTATTTTTAATTGTACAATAATATGTAATTTTATTTTGTAATTGATAGATGAGATTTATCGAAATTGGAAAAGAAAAAAAGTTATTTCTGATAAAAAGGATATAATTTTAAAATACATATAATTTTTACAAAATTGTTACTATATCGTCTCGCACATGTTATAAGTCGATACGATTGTTTCATTTTGCATTTGTATTAATACGATTTAATTTACTCTATATTTTTTTAATCCTCCGAACTAAAAAAAAAAGAATAAAAACTAAGTTAAATCAAAGTTAATCTACATTGGTAGAAGTGAACATTAATGATTTTCCATGGGCAAAATTATATTGATAATTAAAACCGTTTGCATCGATATCTCGACTAATCCATCGGGGTCGGCGATATATGCATCGATTTTTCTTGCGTATCGATATCTCCCCTCCCCTCGGAGTGCGATCCGATCGGTTTTATTCCTCCCCCGTCCTGCGAAATGACTCATTGAGTCATTGTCGCGACGCACGCGCTATCTGGCGGTTGTGTGCAAAATCGTGAACAGCTGTCGTCCGTGTGGCCTGTGTCAATTCTTGGCAGGGGGTTATCCTGCGTGTCTGCGTGAGCGTGTTAGGCCTGTTTCTCCGGATTGTGGTACTGACGCTTGACTGAGCTGTTCAGCGAAGACTGTCTTTGCGGTGAGTCAAACCGAACTGAATACATCCACGTCACGTACTCGCGTGTCCGTCGTCGCCCAACTCCGAGTGTGTAACGCGTGTGTAATGAAGGGTGCTTTCCAACGAGAGGCACAGATGACACAGTGTAAAGATGACCCTACACGGTCAATAATACTGTCAGTATTAACAAATACTAACAATATTACTGATCGTGCGCGATTAATATTGATGATTGACGTAGATACTGATGATGATGAAAATCCAGGTTTGATTCTCTAATATCAGTATTGCTGTACTAGGATCTATATCATCGGTATAATAGATAAATAATGTACGTAAAATTAAAGTGAAATATATGATCAATAATACCGATCATGTAAGATTGTGAAAATACTAAAAATATTGGTGCGTACTGTCAGTATTGATTCAATATTACTGATCATCAGTATTATTGACTGTATAGAATCATCTTAACACTGTGAATCATTACATCCTTGTTGTTTGCCAATGTTAAACAAAGCTGAAATGATCATTGTGTTACATTTTGCCAAAAAGCACCAAAAGCCGCGTACACCAAGCAGCCTTGCTCCGATTACGTGTGCACGACGTTCGGCGCGCGCTCGATCGATTCGCGCTCGACGATGTTCGCCCATGTATACTTTCTCGCGAACGAGAGCACCTGCCTGCCGGTCACGCATCGGTGATGAAACGGTACCGTCTTCGATCGAGCCGGCCGGGGCTCTCCATCGACGGTGACATTTTCCGTACGCCGGTCGCCGCAGGGCGACTCGGCGGATTTTTGAATGATCGTAAGTGAGCGTAGGCGTATCACGTGACCGATCGTAGCGTACTGTAGTCTTCTGCCCTCGCGCACATCCCGGAGAAACCATTGATGACTCCCCTCGATCTGCGGCTGCAGCTGCGAGTTCGCAACCGGAGTCGGGAGATCCGGCTCTCCGATACTTGCTCCCTTCCTCTTCTAGATTACCGTATCTATGAAGGTCTATTGACGATAGTTTACGATAGACACGAACGAATGTTCTGATGTCAGATTGATGCTGCAATGCTCAAATCCTATGATTCGAATTAATTTTTGGAATCTCTGATATTTTATCTAATGTTTATTATTGCAAAGATTTGTAAGAAAGTTGAAACTTTTGTTTCGGCGATTTAATTGAATTCGATCACTTACATTACACTAAATTATAATAGACACCTCTTTTAATATCTATTTTTAATGAAAGAATTAGTTATAAACAAAAACATTAAATTGTCACTTTAAAAATATTAATTAATTAATATTATTTTATTCCTCAAATAATGCCCTTAATATGAACATATATTAATTTTCTCAACTCTCATAATACTAACCCTAATTTCCTTCTTATATTTTTTCGTATCTTTATGTAACTTACACCGTCGAAATAAATTCCCATTTTTTTGATGAAATAATAAAAAAAATTCTCTGAGACTGAAGATGATAATAAAATGATAATAAATCTGTTTTCTATTTTTGACCCCTCCACATCCCCTTCTTTATCCCTAAATTGGTTAAGTATACTAATTTTACTATTCATCCTTCCCTATCAATTCTGATTCTCTCCCTCACGCATCACCTTTATTTGAAACTTATTTATTAACTTTATTTTTAATGAATTTAAATTTTTAATCAATTATTCTTTCTCTAATATGCACACTAAAAGCTTCTATATATATACATATATATAAAAATAATATGTGTCTGTATGTGTGTGTGTGTGTGTGTGTGTGTGTGTGTGTGTGTGTGTATATACGAAATTTGCAAAGTTAAATCAAAAGCGTATATATAAATATTTTAAACGATTAAGTGCTCAATAATGATATTGTTACATTATCTAACAAAATATATATGTATTCAGGAATGTGCCTAGCGAGCGTGCAATATGTTTGCACGCAGATGGCCGAAGTCGAAATTTATTGAATTATACTTGGATATTCTAAAAGTGCGACGAAATTATAGCATTCTGAATGTTCACAATGTCTTCATTAAAATTACTTTCTATTGTTCATTTCTGTCAATATAGATTAACTTTAACTATCCATTTCTGCAGATATAGATTAATTTTAATCTCGGCTTTGACTTACAGTTTTTCTTTTTTTAATTCTTAGAACTAAAAAAAAATAAGGAATAAGTTAAACTTAATCTATATTGATAGAAATGGATTAAAGACTAAAGTTAATGAGTATTGATGGAAATAAATGAAGTGACATAATTTTGGTAGAGATAGAAATAGACGTTATAGATTAATTTATTCTTTTAATTTTTTTTGATTGTAAGAATTAAAAATAGAAAAAGATAAAGTATGACTTATATCTAGTACTTATATCTAGTACTTACATCGGTTTCTTTCTCTTGTTTCCTTTTTTTTGAAGTCAATTCCTGCATACAAATAACTACTTACATATACACATTTCTGAGATGGCAAAATTATTTTTGCACGCTTCTGTATGAATTATTTTAGTGTATAAGTTGATTATATGCCATTACTGTATTTAAATATTTTATATAAAGCAGCCTTTAATGTAAATTAATTCAGTGTAGTAAAATTATTGAATAATATGCATCATAATTCATCATAATTGAAAAATCTTTTCAAATAGCGTATCTAAAATTGGGACATATTTTTAAGATGTCTTATAATATATAATATAATATGATATAATTTTAATATGATATATATAATATAATGTGACATAATATTTAATGACTTAATATTTACGTCATCTTATGTCCCAACTTTGAATATGATGTTATCTGGATTAATATGCCGATATTGAGAGACATATATATTAATAAATTATGCACCTTTTCCTGTAATCTGGAGTATCCGTACTCAATGATGGCAAACAACGTGTAATCGACAATTACAATCAACCGAATTGAGCTTTCAATTTAACAAGCAATTAGTGATTAGCTTTAATTGAAATCGGAGTATTAAGTCCCCATTTAATGAACCCGTTGATTTTCGTCTCCCGTTTTCTTTCCGTACCGTAGAAAATCGATACCACTCACATTCGCTCGGCGATCAATGCGGTTCTCGCGTCGCTTAATACGCGAGTTTATAATGACAAATAATTTAATATGCGCCGTAAGTCGCTGAAACGAGAATGTCGAGGGGCATTGATGCTGCCGAGCGGCAGAAAAAGAAAAATCGTTCCCACACATTCGCGATCCACTATTTTGCTCCTTTTTATTGCATCCAGCGCATCCGTTTTGACCTCCGACTTTTACCGCGTATCGCATTCGTCGTTATACGTTCGCAGCTGCCTGGCCCGCAAGCTGCGCGATTCCAAAAATTCGGGGATGAAATTTGTGTTTTGACCCCCGTGGCGCCCATGGCCTTTCGGTGTGGAATAAAGAAGGCGTCTCTTTTCCGGGTTAGCAGGTAGTGATAAATTTGTTGAATTTAAACCTCGGCAAATGAATTACTTCCGAGCGCTTCCTGAATAACGCGAGATTCTAAAATTCAGCTTGTATGTAAATTTGAGCGAGTGAGTTTGAATAATAGGAGATTTGTTGAATTAAGATAAGGGAAATGAAAAGATCAATTGAAAAGAATTGATAGAGATTTGCTTTATGAGGTTGCGATTTTTCTGGAGAGAATAACGAATTAGAAGGTTAAAAGAGATTAATGTCAATTGCGTCAGAGAAATTATGAATAACTAATTTTGTAGTTCTCGCAATAGAGAATATCTTAGTCTGGAAATTCTTCTTTATTTTCTCCTCTTTCTTTTTATTTACTGTAATTTTCGCATAATTGTGGTAAATATTATGAATAGCTGTCGATGAGTTTTATTATTGCAGTTAACGATACAGAAGATAAGATATTGATAATACAAAAAGAGAGATAATTTCATTCGGTAAAAATTCGAGGAAAAATAATATATATATATGTATTCTTTTCCTCGAATTTGCGTGTGTGTGTATGTGTGTGTACTTGTATACATATACAGGGTGTGCCATAAAAACCGTAACAAGCTTAAGGGAAGATTCCTGAAATTATTTTGAGATGAAAATTCTATATCGAAATGGAGGCTATAATAATTTTTTAATACAATAAATATTGAATTTTATAACATATATATAATATATACTTTATTGTATAATGTAACGATTCAGTAGTTATAGAATGAGCTGTTCAGTGGAACGAAATATGATTGGATT